AAGAGAACATAGACACGTCACCAAGGAAGGCATTCAGGTGGTTAACAAACACGTGAAGAAATGCTCACAATCATTGAGCATTGTTGTTGTTGTTAAGTGCCATCAAGTCGGTTCCAACCCATAGCGACCCTGTACAGGGTTTCCGAGGGTGTAAATCTTTACGGGAGTAGAAAGCCTCATCTTTCTCCTGAAGAGCGGCTGGTAGTTTCAAACCACTGACCTTAAGGTTCGCAGCCCGATCCGTAACCACTACGCTACCAGAGCTCCCTGTAGATAGGATATAATCCTAAAACAGACAGCATGGTACTTCAAAAATAGATCTTGAAATGTTCTTTTGGATGATGGTTGTGACACTATTCCTCTTCAATTTGTCATTCCTGGCATAATAAACCATGTGATTGTCAGATTCAAAATAGCCAATGACAGTCCATTTCAGAACATTAATACCTAGGATATTGATCTTAAGTGTTTATTTCATTTTTGAAACTTTCAATTTTCCTAGATTCATACTTCATGCATTTCATGCTCTGATTATTAATGGATGTTTGCAGCTGTTTCTCCTCATTTTGAGTTGTGCCCTATCAGCAAATCAAAGTCCTAAAACTTTACTCCATTGATACCATCACAGTCAACTATACTTTGAAGAAGCTGTTCTTCCTTAGTCATAGTTTGAATGCCTTCCAACCTTAGTGGCTCATCTTCCAGCACTTTATCTGACAGTATTCTGGTACTAGTCATGCTTTCAACATCAGGCACTATACCTGACAAAGCTCCTTTGCTACTCATAAGGTTTTCATTAACTAAACATTTGCCTCTTCTTCTTCCTACTCTGTCTTAATCTGAAAGTTATACTGGAACCTGTCCAGAATGGGTGACCCTGCTGGTATTTAAAATACTGATGGCATAGCTTTCAGCATCACAACAACACAACTTCACCACAGTATAATAAACTGACAGATGAGCGGTGGCTTTCCAGTACAGAAGTCTAGAAAATCCAACACTCACTTCTTCATCCTTCCTTGTGAATAATATAACAATGCTATCCAGGTGGAGTCAATAAGCTATAAAGTAAATGTGCTGGAGGTGCTTCTGGGAAAACAACTCTGCCCTACATTACCTCCACTTCCTACTTTTAAACAAAAGTCTTGAGATTTGAGGATGAGGAATTAATATACCAATTTGTTTAGTCACATAAGTTTTCTTTCACATATATAAATAAAACAGAAAGACACTTTC